AGAGTCCGTGCGATCAGTGGGAGGGGGACACCAGAGGCATGTCAGGTCTGGCAGCAGGGAGAGAGGGCTAAGCCACGAGGGCTGCAGGAGCCATCGGCTGAGAGTCAGAACAGCCTGGCACCTGTGAGAGTGAGCTCCTGGAGTTGGGGTGGGAGTGCAGACATGAGTGTGCGTGTACACACACAGACACACACACACACACACACACACACACACACACCTTCGGCCCGGCACATATGACACACAGCTTTCTCCCAGACACCCCATTCCACAGATGAAGAAAGACGGGCCTTGGAGGTTAGGAGACATGGCCCGAGCTCTGCCCAGTCAAGACAACCTCCTGGTAAGCCTCCTGGAGGAGGGCTCACATCGAGGCAAGTCCACGTGACTTTCCCCCTCAACAAAGAGTCTGGCTTTTGTCACGGTCAGGGTCAGGGGCCAGTGCTGTGACATAGGAGTTAGGCCTGGATGCTGGCTCGATTCTAGGGCCCGGCATTGTGGCTCAGAGATTAAACCCTTTCTTTGCATGGGTCAGGAGCCCATATGGGTGCTAGTTTGGGTACCATTTGGGTACCGGATACTCCACTTCCCATCCAGTTCCCTGTTTATGGCCTGGAAAAGTAGTAGAGGATGGCCCAAAGCCTTGGGACCCTGCGCCTGCATGTGAGACCCGGAAGAAACACCTGGCTCCTGGCTTCAGATCAGTTCAGCTCTGGCCGTTGCAGCCACTTGGGGAGTTAACTAATGGATAGAAGATCTTTCTGCCTCTCCTTCTCTCTGTAAACCTGCCTTTCCAAAAAAAAAAAAAAAAAAGAGAGAGAGAGAGAGAAGAATAAAAGAAAGAAATCTTTTCTAAAAACGATTCTAGGTTGTTTATTTGAGAAGCAGAAAAAGTAGAGGGGAAATAAGTCTCTCCTCGGCACTCACTCTCCAAATGCTACAATAGTCGTGGCTGGGGAGGGTCAAAGATTGGAGCCAGGAACTCAATCCGGGGCCCTCGTCAGCAGGAGGCAGCAGCTGGGGCCCAGCGTAAGGCCCGGGCACTCCGGTGTGGAGCACAGGTGTCCCGAGGCCCACCCTCTGATGGCCTATGAGGACACGTGCAGTGCCAGTGTCAGTTTTTGGAACAACTCTCAGGAATAGGTGCAAATGCAGCTGTCGGTTCCCAGGTGAGGAGGAGGAGGAGGGTATGTGCCCTCCCAGAGCCAGTTCAGGTGTTGAGGAAGTCCCAGAAATGCCACACAGGTGACCGGAGAGGACGCCCAGCAGCTCCAGTGGCAGCATCAATCACTCAGTAGTCCTGAGTTACACCCTGGGCTGGCACACCCTGACGGTGACCAGTACATCAGACTAGGACACTTCCGGTGCTCCACAAGGCAACAACAGAAGTGGCCGAGGCCGAGAGCTCCGGGGATGACATGGACCCGAGAGTATGTGTACCCTGGCTGCCTTGGGGTCCCAGTCCAGCACTGGCAGGGCCATGTCCTGTGTCCCTCCATGAAGTGGGACGAGCATGTGCACATTTGGGGTCTGCCTTTGACTCACCGCAGTCTCCCCAGGTGTGGTCTACCTGGAGAGGGCTGCTCTTCCTGCAGGCAGAAGCCCCTTGGGTGGGCTCCCAAAGCCCATCCAGGGCCAGGGCAGGTCCTACAGGCAGCCCTGAGCCCAGGGGAGGTAGAGGATAGTCCGTTCCTCACTTCTGCTCCGGAGCACGAATCCCCCACCACCTCCCACTTTCCGGCTCCTGGGCTCCTGAGCATAGAACCAGGACCAATCACGACAGCACCTCTGGCACTTCCCTGGAAAGTTCCTTGGAGAGTTAATAGCTGTGCCCCCGATCGCCAGAACACTCTACATCTTCACGAGGCAGGTCCACGTGACATCTCATGCTGTCCAGGCACCCACTATCCACCTGGCTCTTCACATTCTTTCCTGCTGGGGACCCCAGCAGCCAGGCTCAGGGAAGGGACATCTCTGGCGCAGAGCTTTGCTGTGCAGCTCCGGTGGCTGGAGGGTGCCCTCTGGTGGCAGGCTGCAGAGATGGCCTCACAGCCACAAGCCGGGGGTCCTCTAGTGGTGGCTGGCACCACAGCCTCCTTGTGGGGACTTGTGAAAGGGCGACTTTCCAGGCCCCACTCTGGAGGGTGACAGCTGGAACTCCATGGTGGCAGCTACTGTTGTGTGCTTAACAGGTGACAGGCTACTCAGAGGAGGCCCTGGCTTGAGCTCAGCGGTTCTTAGCACTAAGGAGGACTTGTGCCTAAACGCACTTTGGAAACATCCCTGCCCTTCTGTGTCACCCCTCAGGCATCTGAGGGAAGCCCGTATCCAAGGGATATAGGACTTGAACCACAGGTGGGGACAGAGGAGCTCAAGGCAAGCGTGAGACAGTAAGTAAGCAGACGCTGGGACTCGGGAAGAAAGCAGGCGCGGTGCATGGGTCAGACGGAAGGAGGACTCAAGGTGCATCCTCCCACGCCTCCCAGCGGAAGGGACTGCTAAGCAGGGGACACCCTCAGTGACTCACCGTGCGCTGTGCCAGGTCTAAGCTCTAACACGGAGGAGGGTGGACAGATGCCAGGAAGGCTCCCTGCAGCCAGATGTCTCTCACGCATGGTTCTCAGCACGTCCAGTTGTGCAGGATGTTCCCACACCTGCCGGTGTGAAGCAGGAATATGGAGAGAAAAATATACCAAGAAAAAACAGGCTTTGTTGAACCCAAAGATGGGCAGCTGGAAGATGTCCCAGTACCATCTGCATGAGCTCTCAGGTCCTTTGAGCACCTGCTACGTCGTGGCCACTGTTCTTGGTTCCAGTTAAAGCCAATGGACATCCCTCTCGAGCTTTGGCCCCAAGGTGTCCCGAGAGGGGACAGGATGCAGAGTTCTTCACCTCCCAGGTGGCTCTCGTGGTGAAGGACTTCATTTTGAAGTCTCCAAGGCCAAGTATTATCTTCTGCTGAGCCAGGAGAGAAGGTAACGAGGTTGACAGACATCAGATTAGGAGTTAGCTCAGCATGGGACTTCTAGAATATGCAGTCATGTTATCTGGGAGGTGTTGGCCAAGAGCAGTCAGGTGATGGCAGGGTGCTGGGGCAGAGCCGAGGCTTCTAACAAGCTCCCTCGGGAAGTTGGAGCTGCTGCCATGGTCGGGGCTCACACCTCAGAGTGGCACCGGCGGATGAACTGGGCTGTGGAGGGCAAGCCACCCTCCATCAGCATGTCATCAGCCATGGCCTTGAGCCCTTGTTGCCATTCCTACTCCCACCCCCGCCCCCGAGGCCCTGGATACTTTCCAGTGTGAGTGCACTCTTTTGCCTTATTATCTCCCAGTTGCCATAGCAACTCCTTCAAGTTGGCTGCAAGGAACAGGACCCCTGAAAACTGAGATGGACGTGATACCCCACCTGGGACAGGGGAAAGGAAGGTGCAGAGCTAGGGTGGCAAGGCTGGGCAGAGTCCCACTTCTGCCTGAAGGTTGGGTCATGCCACAGGGCTCCACAGGGAACAAGAGGGGATGCTGTGAGCAAGTACAGCCTGGGTCTTCCTGGCCCAGCTCCTGCGGCCCAGCTGGCAGGAGGTCAAGAATTTGTCCTTGCTAGCTTGCTCTTTGGCTCTCCCCCACAGACTGGCACACATTTCGCAGGTGGGTGAAGCTGGGAAAATTGGATGAGAGGAGTAAGTACCATTTCCTTCTAGGCCAAGAGTCACCAGAAACTATCCAGTCCCATTTTCATAGGTTCTCATGGAACAATCACCCAGCAGGAATGGACGTATGACAGCTACTTCCTATGTACAGTTGCAAGATATCAATCAAGAGGTTACTAGGCCAGTCGAAACACACACCCTTTAACCATATAAAACAGTAATCACTGCTTTATAGGATGCAATAAATTATAATGCATTAAGACACAGAGCCACTTTATGATGGGATTAAAATAAGGACCGCTAGAAATCTTGATGAAAAGCAAAGTGTCCACAATTATGCCATGAAGTGACGCATTCTTGGGGGGAGGAGGTAAGGCCAGAGCTCAGTGGAGTCTCCCTGTTTCCCTGGGGAAAGCCTGTTCACAGTGTTACGTGCACTATGTCTGTAAGGGACTTATGGCCAAGACGCTAAAATAGACTATACAGCAATACGGACAGAGGGGAAGGAGCCAGAAGCAAAGTTTTCCAAAATTCAAGCCAAGATCAATTGCAACAATGACCAAAAGAGGGAAATTGGGACCAAGGGCAGTAGCGGCCTTCCTGGAGATCAGCGAGCGTAACAAAGGCTCGACCAGGGAGGAGAGAAGGGGCTCCCCTACAAGGTGGCTCCAGATCTGGAGGAGGTAGCCAACCCAGCAAGATACTCACTGGTCACTCCGTGGTCAAACAAGATTCTAGAAAGTTGGAGCACAAGGCACTACTGGGGAAGGAAATCTGCTTTCCAGGACTTGGTCATTAACTCCAACAATGCTGCCGCTAAGTGGCTATTTCAGCAAAGCAGGGTGGTATCCACAAACAAGTCCACCCAGGTACAGATCAGATGCCAGAGCAGGGAGAAGGAGTAGAAGGGAGGGAGGGGGGGAACAGACATTAAATCCTCTGGAGAACGATGTGGGTACCTCCTGTACCCGCTCCGAGCCCCGAAGCTCGCAGGTGGGGCTGAGGAAGACAGAACAAGACTGATCACTACTCTAGCTGGCTGTGCCGTCCTGAAAAGTTAAAAAGGCAGAAAACTAGTTTTATCCGTAAGAAAAATGTTTATTCTTTTGAACCCCACAGGAAAAAAAAAAATTAAAAAGGCAGCCAAGACCAAGTATTTAACGAAAATAGTGTCCCAAAAGGCGGCAAAATGTGGGATACCTCAACACAAAGTCAGTGACAATTTTCCAAGGTTTTTTTCCCACGAAGATGGAAAGATGTATGACAGTTCTAAGTAACACGTTCATGGTGACAATTACACAGGATGATTCAAAAATGCAAATGGCGGCAACATGCACACCTGGCTAAAGCTAGAATCCCCAAATCAGATCTGTAATTGGAAGGATGGTTTTCTGTAATGTTTGTTTTTACTGACTCGCTGGTTCTACTTAATTTGCTTTAACTGAAACATACATGCCAATTAGCAGGAAAATTTAGAGGGACCATGTCCTTCCAGGACCCATGACAAGGAGGCAAGACAAATCTGTCTTCTTAATTTTTCCTAGCTTCCAAATACAATTTTGCTTTGTCCTCTCTCCCCTTCCTCTGCCCCGACCCCTTCTTGATTCTTCAATACTTCCGGAAGTTGCTGTGTGAACACTTTTCTACTCATGTATAATACACATTTGAAACCAAGCTTTCTGTGCACGTCTTTGAGCTTGTTTTTTTTTTTTTTTTATCAAACAAAACAAAACAAAAATCTCCTTGGCACAAGAGCTGAGGAACTGTCAAGCTTCTTTAAGATCGTCAAACACAAGATGATAAGAAGTGGAGAAAATACAGTTAACACCGCGGTTTTCACGGCCATTGTCAGTGTCTGCACACACTGCAGCCAGCAGCACCTGGATGCTTCCTCAGAGCAAGCACAGAGCGCCACAGGGCCTCTTAGAGGCGCCAGATGCAGCTGCTGTTGGGGAGCCAGCTCAGGTACGCACCAGGGTCCCAGCAGCATCCACGGCTAGGCAGATAGAAATAAGACGGAGGATGGCACAGAGTTGGGGAGGTGGGAAATGGGCTAAACGATTACGTTTCCTCTTAAAATGTCTTTTCCCAAGGCCCCATGAAGACAACAGCTGATGGCCTCTCCAGGACTGACCCCGCCAGGGAACACAGACCCCTCAGCCCTGACCCCGCCAGCGGGCCTCCTTACTGCCCGTCTCCTCACTCAGCTGTCCTCAGCTTTAAGGACAGGTCCTAGGAGGAGCAATCAGTTTCGTTTTCTGTAACATCAAGCATCTTTAATATGGCTAGGAAATCAAAGTTGTCTTGGGTTATTTCCTTTTTACTCTAAAAGCTTAACTTTTCATTATTATCCCATGTGAATCCAATGGTGCTGCTTTGTTTTTTTTTTTTTAAGAACAAAACAAAACAAAGGGCTAAGAAGCAAAAACTTGCTTTTTTTTTTTTTCTCCAAGAGGAAACTATGTGTACGAATACATAAAAGGCAAAATTGGCCACTTGAAATCCAAGAATGGTTTTAATGTGTTGGCCGAGAAAAATAAACTGCGAAGTTCTGTGAGGTCTTCTAAAAATTTACAAGAAAACTGATGTAGCTCGGGTCAGACCTGGGTGTTAACTCCCCCCCCTTTTGAAAAACGACAACATACAGAGTCCCACAAAATACAATATAAACTTGTTTTTTTGTTTGTTTTTTTCTTTTCTTTTTTTTTTTTTTTTTGTTTTATCTTGACTGCCAGATACACTCCCTTGCAATGCCTTCCAGTAACCAAATGGGGCCAAACACACAGATGGCCTTCATTTCTTTAGGGGCTGGTAAACAGAGGCATTGGGGTCAAGTCCAGAGGGGCTGGTCTCCACAAATTTGGAAGAGTAGTGGGGGGAGACGGGGCTCAGGGGGCTGGTGGCAGCACTGTATGTGATGCTGGGCATGACGGCCATGACTTCTGCTATCTTCTGCTTGAGGTCCTTGATTTCCTGGTCTTTCTGAAGGATTTGTCCTGAAAAAAATCAAAGACCCATGGTTAGTGAAGAGTACTGGCTCGGCCAACACAATGCCTCCTGGGCACAGTGGGAATGGCCCCAGCCTGGCAGTCCGTAAAGGCAGACTTGACTTTTCCTTGTAAGGGCCTCAGGACATACCTTGGACACCAGTAGGCCATGCACTGTTTCCTGTGGTTTGTCCCCCTATCCTCCAACTGTGGAAAAACATAAAATCTTTCTTGGTTCCAGAATGCTGTAACTGGGGTGAGGCCAGGATCTGGCCTGCAGCCAGATCAGTGGTACAAGTAAAAAGACATTCTGCTTGCAAAGGTGTGACCCAAGCAGTTTTAAACATAGCAGGAACCTCTGAGAGCTTAAGAAGGGCTCAGGGTGCTTGCGTCATATTAACTTCTACCTGTGGTGCCAGCATCTTATACGGGTGCTGGTTCAAGTCCCAACTGCCCTACTTCTAATCCAGCTCCCTGTTTATAGCCTGAGAAAACAGTCCTTGGGAACTTGGACCCACATGGGAGACCCAAAAGAAGCTACTGGCTCCAAACAGGACCAGCTCTGGCTGTTGCGGCCATTTGGGGAGTGAACTAGCAGATGGAAGATACCTCTTCTTCTCTCTCTCCTCTCGCTTGAAATTTGTCTTTCAAATAAATACATATCTTTAAAAAACCAAAAAGGAAGGAAAGACAGAAAAGAGAAACGTGCAGAGTGTGACCTATGGTCCTACTTCTTGAGATATGTGTGTGTTTTTTTGTTTTTGTTTTTTCCCCCTAGAAGGTTGGACTATCTAGTGTCAGACCAAGGAATGTAGAATTCAAGAATTGACCCCCAAGTTTCTTGCAGATGCCAACTCTGTGTCTTCTGTCCTGGAGGGAGTCAGGCATGATACCCCAGATGCTTGCCCAGACATGCCACCTGGCACAATACCCCTCAGACCAACTGCCCACAACAAATTCTGCTGGCAGCTACAGCAGCATCACAAAGGCCAGCTCCCAGCATAGCTTCCCTCACCATGCTTATTTCAATTTTTTAAAAAGATCTATTTCTTTCTTTTTTTTTTCTAAAGATTTTTTTTTATTGCAATGTCAGATATACAGAGAGGAGGACAGACAGGGAGGAAGATCTTCCGTCCAATGACTCATTCCCCAAGTGGCTGCAATTGCTGGTGCTGCACCGATCCAAAGCCAGGAGCCAGGAACTTTCCTCCGGGTCTCCTGTGTGGGTGCAGGTCCCAAAGCTTTGGGCCGTTCTCGACTGTTTTCCCAGGCCACAAGCAGGGAGCTGGATGGGAAGCTGGGCTGCTGGGATTAGAACCAGAACCCATATGGGATCCTGGTGCATTTAAGGCAAGAACTTTAGCCGCTAGGCCACGCTACCAGGCCCAGATCTATTTATTTCTTATTGGAAAGTCAAATATACAGAGAGGAGGAGAGATAGAGAGAAAGATTTTCATCTGCTGATTCACCCCCCAAGTAGTCACAATGGCTGGAACTGAGCCAATCCAAAGCCAGGAGTCTCTTCCGGGTCTCTCATGCGGGTGCAGGGTCCCAAGTTTTTGGGCTATCTTCCACTGCTTTCCCAGGCCACAAGTCATAAGTAGGGAGCTAGATGGGAAGTGGGGCCACTGGGACATAAACTGGTGCCCATATGGGATCCCAGCATGTGCAAGGTGAGAATTTTAGTCACAAGGTTGCTGTGCCAGGCCCTGTGCTTGTTTCTTGAGTCTACTAGCTCCTGCCGGCTTCAGCTGCTCCCTCTTTTAAAATGCTTATTTTCGTGTTATGTGAAAAGGTAGACAGCAAAAAAAAAAAGAGAGAGAGAGAGCAAGAGATCATCTGTCCAGTGGCTCACATCTCAAATGCCTGCCACAGCCAGAGCTCAATCCAGGGTGTCCATGTAAGGCAGCATGTCTCCCAAGCACGGGCATTAGCAGGCAGCTGGATCAGAAGCAGAGCTAGAGGGGCAGGCAATGTGGTGCAGTGAACTGTCACCTGTAATGCTGGCATCCCATGTAGGCGTCAGTTCCTGTCCTAGCTGCTCCACTTCTGATCCAGCTCCCTGTTAGTGCTCCTGGGAAAGCAGTGGAGGATGGCCCAAGTGTTTGGGCTCCTGTCACCCATGTGGGAGACCTGATGGAGTTCCAGGTTCCCAGCTTTAGCTGAGCTCTGACCAGAACTCTGTCTCTCCCGCTCTCTGTAACTCTACCTTGCAAACAAAATAAATAATTCTTTTAAAAACAAACAAACAAACAAACAAACAAACCAAAAACCTGGAATTTGAGCCAGCTGGTCTGACATGGAGTGAGGGCACCCCAGTGGCGACTGAATTGCAGCACCAAGCACCACCCCAATTCCCTTTCCATGCTTCTCCGCATGTCTAACATCTGATGCTTCTGCTGCTTCTTCCTCGGTGGTGCTTTCCTCATCCTTCCAGCTAAGTCAACTCCCCACCAACTCCTGCATTCTCAACATACGCCAACCTTTCCTTCCTCCTAGGTTCTCTGTGCTAATGGTAATAGAGTCCCTAGCACCGGGGGCAGGCGCTGTCCAACCCTCTCAGGTGCGAATTCTCACATTTCTTCACCTACAGATGGGAAAACAAGGCAGAGGGCCCAGAGACTTGTTCGAGGTAGATGGCCAGTTCAATTGCACGTGGTCTGGCTCTAGAGCTAACACACTTCCTGCGCTGCTCACTCGACAGTCGCCTGTGCCCATCAGCCCTGCTGATGCAAACCACTCTCCCTTGTGGCTGATGCTCTGCAAGCTGTGCTTCTTGCTCAACACCACTAAGCTATGACTAAATCAGGACCGCATGGTTCCGAGGTCCAGGCAATATCCACCCTGCTCTGTGGCTTCCTAATAAATGGCCTTTGAGAAACTTAAGTGCTAAAAAAAAAAAAAAACCAAACACACACACACACAAAAACAAAAACCAAAAAACCAAACCAGGTTTTAATTGTGTTTTCTCATGGCCCGACAAACAACCTGGTAATAGGGCCAGTGCAGTGGGACAGCACACTAATCCTCCATCCTGTGCTGCTGGCATTCCATACAGGCACTGATTTGTGTCCTAGCTGCTCCACTTCCCATCCAGCTCCCTGCCTGTGGCCTGGGAAAGCAGCAGAGGATGACCCAAATTCTTGGGCCCCTGCGCCCACGTGGGAGACCCAGAAAAAGTAGTTGGATCCTGGCTTTTGATTGGCTCAGCTCTGGCTATTGTAGCCACTTGGGGAGTGAACCAGAAGTGGAAGATCTTTCCCTCTCTGTCTCTCCTTCTCTCTGTAAAAGCTGCCTTTCCAATAAAAATAAGTAAAGTTTTTTCAGAACAGAAAAAGAAAACCTGGTATTGTATTTGGAATGTAAGAGAGGTTGGTGGTGTATGTTTTAAAACATGCACTAGAGATAAAAAAAAAAACATTTTGGCACCAACTTGAATCAAATGATATAGAAACTAGGAAAGAGAAAAATAAGGGATTTGATTTTGGTTCCAAAATTATTTTTTTTTAGAAGATTCCCAGCTCACAGTGGAGGGAGGCGGGAGGAAAGGCAGCGGCCCGAGCAGAAGGAAGCTGCCCCTCCCCGCTCAGGCCCACTAAGCTTCACGCTGGCATCAGTGTCCTGGCTGCTCTTTGAGGCTCAGATGATTAAATACCTGGTGGCCTCTGATACAGAAGCTGTGATCGCCTTTTCCATGTGAATTCACATCTGATTTCTTTAATCAGCAACATATAAACACCTCTAGCGCACTGGACAAGCAGGGCTTGTGGTTCCTTTCCTACTTTGTGAGCTCTGGTCCTGAGCAGTGCTGGGCAGCTGCACTCTTCTTGGCTATTCTGAGACCAGGGCTACAGGGACAGATGGTCCAAGTATGGTACCCTGGGCAACGCAGAGTTAAGCCAAGCAGGGGAAAAACTCAAAATATGGTCCGACTCAGGATTCCAAGAACATTGTTCATTTTTGCCTTTAAAAAAAATTGAGACATAAATGTGTTCCACCTGCAGGTTCACTCCCCAGGGCTTGGGTCAGGCAGACACTGGGAGCCGGAACTCAACCCAGGTTTCCCACAGTGATGCCAAGGACACTGCTGCCCCCAGAGCGTGCACTAGCAGGAAGCTGGAGTTGAGAGCTAAGCTGGGCCTGTAGGGATCCCCTGCCTCTCCCTGAGTGTGGAGAACGGAGCCGCGCCCCAAAGATGGTACTTGCTGGTCTTTGCTTCATGGCACAAAGGTGGTAAACAGGTTTTGGGAAGTTACTGAGGATTGGGCCGAGCACGCAGGGAAGCTACGTGACCTAAGTCATGATTGGTGTGCTTACCGCATGATGTGAGGAGCTGTGTATCGATTGGTTTGTGTAATGTAAAAAGGTCTGGGTAAAAAAAGAGTTAAAAGAGAAGATTCGTCCAGGCACGCAGCTAGAGCTAAGGCTATCACTTCAAGGCTATCAGGCTATCGCTAGTGCTAGGCTGTAGCTGCTTTCACTTTGCTGCAATAAATCTTACAACTGCTGTAACTGTTTTTTCTTTGTAACTACCCTTGAAGTCACCAGTAATAAACTTTTCAAAGAATCTCACGGGACGAGGGACCCCGATACCTGAGTCCACAGCCTGGTTCTCAACCCCACCTCCCGCTCCATCACCCAGGTCAGCCCAAGCTACTCCAGTGGGCCTGCCGACTTACCACCTCCTTGTTTCCAAGGCTGTTGGCCTCTTGGCTGAGTGCAGGCCTCATTCCTGCTGACCATGAACACCCCTCACCTGGGGCTCTGGGAGTACCTCCAAATCATGGCCCCTAGCCAACCCACCCTCGCCACTGCTGCCACTAGTCTGATCTCATCCTTGGTTCTAGCGACTCTGTGCTCCTGGATTGCTCAGGCATCTCCATGAGCCCTCCCCTCTGCTTGGACCAGCCCCTTTCCCTATAGCTATCACCTGTGTAGCCAGGAGACAGCAACTGCTTCCTAGTTGGCCTCTGCCTCCACTCAGTGTCACCCCAAACTGCCACTGCAGTATTTCTAAAGATAAAATGGCCAGGACATGTCACCCCATTCCTCCAGAAACCTAGAGAATAGATTCAGAATGGCTCCATTGATTAGGAGCTGCCTCTTCCACATGACAGCGTTGCCCCAGCATTCCCCGCCCTCACAGTCCTCTGCACACCTCAAGGAAGGAGCCTCGTCTCTCCTCTGGTATTTTTGGCTCTCAGCCTCTATTTCCTCTAGCACAGAGACTACCTGCCGAGGAACACGGAGCTGTCTGCTGCTGCTTCGCGCTCCTTCTGTGGTGAGTGTAAATGGAACCTTCTATAAACTATGAGTGTTGTGAAATTACAAAAGGATGAATGAACAGAGGTGAGAACTGAACAATCCTCTTAAGCCAGACATTAAAGATATTTGCTAAATGTAAAACTGTCACTTTTCTCATTGATATTTTTTTGGCGGGGGAGAAGTTATTTTTCAAAAGCACGTTATTTACACTGGCATATCGCATTTGTTCATTTAAAAAAATAAGTGCTTTAAGTTTTAATTTACAGCAAGTAAGTACTAACAGGTACATACACTTTACTAATAGGTACATTAAAAAAAATCCTCTTTGGGGGCCAGCGCAGTGACATAGTAAACTCCAGCATCCCATATCAGTGCTGGCTTATATCCTGGCTGCTCCACTTCCGATCCAGCACCCTGCTTATGGTCTGGAAAAGCAGCAGAGAATGGCCGAAATCCTTGACCCCTGCATCCACAGAGGAGGCTCCTGGCTTCAGATCAGCTTAGTTCCAGCCATTGGGCAGCAAACCAGGCAAGTAAAAACTCAGTGTTGGGCTTAGCATGGTGGCCTAGTGGCTAAAGTCCTTGCCTTGAATGCGCTGGGATCCCATATGGGCACCAGTTCTAATCCTGGCAGCCCCACTTCCCATCTAGCTCCCAGGCTTGTGGCCTAAGAGGTCAGTCGAGGACCGCCCAAAGCCTTGGGTTCCTGTACCTGCATGGGAGACCCAGATGAAGCTCCAGGTTCCTAGCTTCAGATCGGCACAGCTCTGGCCATTGTGGTCACTTGGGGAGTGAATCATCAAACAGAAGATCTTCCTCTCTGCGTATCTGACTTTGCAATAAAAAAATAAAATAAATCTAATAAAAAACAGAACAAAACTTTCAAAATCAGGATGGAAAATCTAACTCAGCCTTCCAAGTAAAAATGAATCTTTAGAAAAACAATAAACAAAAATACATGGTTTGTGATATGCAACACTTTTCAACGGAGTAAGGGAGTCCCTGAGGAGACTGTGCCCCACAGGGACACCAGCAGGCTCTTGCAATGTTCAGCTTTGTCTCCCCCGAGGCGCCCAAGATGCCAGTCCCTACTGAAACATTCCTTTCCTTCCAGTCAACCACTTCAAAATGTTTTTGCAGTCCTCCATTAATCACACATTCTGATGAGGCGGCTCCTTGCTTTCCTGCATGAAACTCATGTTGTTCTGTCAGCTTGTCTATAGCCTTCAGGCTGCTGAGGGCGGCTGCCAGGCAGGGGCAGTGCGCCTTCCCTCCTCAGGACTCTGCTGTTCCCAGTGACTGAAACATTGGTGGTCTCTGCTCCAGTGTTGCCTACGACAGGGACCTTCTGTACGTACACGTCAAAAGTGCACACAGCTCTGCCTCACTGGCTTTGCCATCATCCCTCCACTTCCTGCCATCCGACACATTCCCAGCTGGCTTGCTCCCTATTTCTCCTGGCCAGGGCTCCATCCCCAAATCCTCAGGGACTCTCAGAGCCTGGCACATAGTAGGACTTGGTGGCTGCCAAGCAGATGGGCTGCTCGCCAGCTCTCCCACTACTGCTCCCGCCAGCTACCCTCACCATATGGCAGGGTCTGCGAGGCCCTGGCCATTCTGCTTCCTCTGCACTGACAGGTTTCTATGCTCACACTTAGCACACCGCTGCTTCCCTGGGCCAGCCCCTCCTCAGAGTGCAAGCCCCAGCTTGGCCAGCGTCAGCTCCCTGGGGAAATGGCCCTCTCTAAGTCCCCACACTGCCTTGGTCCCTGCCTCTCTTGGTGCCCTCACAGGACCCACCCAGCTTGCCCTCCTGCCACCCTTGGGCGACCATTCAACACTGTGAGTTCTGTAACACAGGACATTCTCTGTAGACCCTGCACCTAACCATTCACATCTCAGAATACAATTGTGGAATAAATTAATGTGGGATTCCAACAATCTATGTTTTAAAAACAAGTTTTTCTTTTTTGCTTCTTAAATTTTAATTATTTGAGAGACAGGGAGAAGACAGCTCCCAGCTGTCAGCTCATTCCCCAAATATTTCCATAGTGCCAGGGCTGGGTCAGACCAAGCTGGGAGCTGGGGCTTGATCTTAAGACTCCCACATGACTGGAGGGACTCATCTGCTCGATCCATCGGCCTCCCAGGTGTGCACTGGCAGGAAGCTGGAATCAGAACCAGAGCTGGGACTCAAACCCAGGCACTCTGACATGGGCATTCAAAGTATTAGGCCAAACAGCCACCCCAGGGACTCCAGCTCCATGTAAGGAACCTACCAAACCACTTGAGTTTAAGAAACTATAATGCCCTCTGACTCAGAGCCCTGGAAGGTGTGCTCTCCAACGTAGGCTCTGCCCCAGGTCCAGCAGGGGCTCGCCGACTCCTTACCCTGGGCAATCTCGAGCTGCCGCTTCGCATCCCCCAGTGCTGAGAAGAGGTCCAGCTTGATCCTCGTCTCTGCGCTGAGGCTGTTCTCCAGGTGTTGTGTCTTGTCTTGCATGGCGGAGAGGGCGGACATTAACACCTCCGTGTCTTTCTCATTTTCCTTATACTTTCGAAGCTCCTGTCAAAACCATCCACATCAGTACCACCAAAATAGAATGCTACAAGCTAGTGTGGGCATAGCCTTGTAAAAATTAGCCTGAAATCATAAATTCATTCCTACTATTCTTGATTTGGCCACAAGGACACAGTACTCTGACATGTCAAGGACTTGAGGCTCACAACTTCAGAGAAAGTGCTGGAAGCTTCCATAGGGTGGCCTGCATATCCGACACCATCTAGCAGACAAGCTCTGTGGGGCCAGTGCAGGGCCTGTATCTAGGTAATGAGGGATCTTGCCTTTAAACTAGTTTCTTGTAAGCCTAATTGAGAACCAGAGAATGTATTCCTTGCTGGTCAGTTGCAAATACTGCAGTCAAATTTGTAAAAACTCTTTTGCTCTTTTGTCAACCTGCACTAAATATGTAAAAATGTTGGTTATTTTGACACAGAAAATTATAGAATAAGCCTGCTTCAAACAATTGGTAATATAGCCAATGAACATGTACAGACTTGATTTTTCTCCATTTAAAGACAGATATTGGAGAATTTAAAACTGCAGAGCTCAAGTAAGAAATGAAAGCATCTCATAATCCATTACTAAAATTTTCGAAGTTTTCTTGTCTGTTTTATTCACATGCATATTGGTTAACCTAAATGGAATAGTATCTACTATGTAAAAGATTTTATAAACAGGGTTCTTAAAAACATAATCTCAATTCCTCTTTGAAAGCAATATTTTTAAAGGTTGTAAGATATCCTTGCCTGGATACACACAATGATCTAAATAAATCTCTGAGACTGTTTCCCATCCTGTAAGTTTCCTGTTGCTGTCACAAGCAGTGCTGTCCACTGACCACTGGCCACCTGAGGCTGGACCGAGGAAGGAAACACTGAACAAGCACACAGTGCCCTGCAGAAAGCGACACTCCAGCCAGCCAGAGAGGAGGTCCTTGCCACAGCAACCTCACTAAGACTGCTCTTTTCATGAAATGTTTTGCTCGTGTCACAGGAGACAAGGAGACCTAATTCTAATCTACATGTCTTCAGGATTGATCAGGATGTATCTTCTTACCCTTCTGATGAGTCATTTATATTTTTTTGGTGAATTATCTGTTTACATCTTTTGCTTGGTTCTCTTTAATTAGCTATTGTATGTTAGAAGTATTATTTCCTTATTTATAATACAATATCTGTACTTTCCCCAATCTTTCTACTATTTTCACTTCATGATTCTTTCCATTGCTTTACACAGTCTTTCCCTATTTCATGATCCAATAAATCGTTTCACTTTTGCTTACCCTAAAAAATGTTTTCTTTCTTGCATTCAACTCTTGGACTCCCTTTTCATATGATACCAGCTGAGCTTCTAATGTTACCCTACTACTCCAAAGTCTTCTTCACTAACCCTCCCCTTCCCACCACCTCTGAACCACCCCAGTGCACAGGCCAGGCTCTCCCTCCAAGGCATCTACCATACTCTCCTGACCTGCTAGCAATTTCTTAACAGTCTCACACGATACAAGTCATTCTAACTGTCTAACACAGGGCCTGAGTCCTAAATGTCCCCTCACAAAACTGAAGCCCAATGCCTGGTAAGGGTACAGACCACCCCTCAGAGTGGCCACATGCCCAGCACTGGAACTTTCCCTCATCACGTACAACTAAGGACCACAACATGCAACACTCAGATCCTCTGAGAGGGTCCATTTCCTGGCCAGAGGGACAGGACTAAGAAGAGACATGTAAATTCCTCAAGTCAATGATTTGGCCTGTAACCCAAAAAAGTTAAACCAATCTCCAGGAAAACAAACCCTGGTGTAAAACATATCCAGGAAATGCCGACCTCTAAGCTTGCATTCAAATCTGGTTTATTAAATAGAACTTGAAGTGAGCTGGACAGGAGCTTGAGATCCACATGTCACACGGAGTCTCAGGGGTAATGCTATGTGGCCCATCTCAAGAGGTGCACCCTCCACACTCCAACACAGTGGCCAGAGCTTGATGTACCTGAACTTTGAGCTCTAGGTCTCGGATCTGGTCTTCCTTCACCTTCATGTCCATCGTGAGCTTCTTGCCCTCTGCTTCAAGTTCTCGGATGCGACTCCGTAAGGTTTCGGTGCACTCTCCCCTTTTGAAAAAAGAAGGAAGCAAAGGGATACTAAAAACCACAGGCTATGGTTGTCCAGGGGAACAGGTTCCAGGAATTCCCCCACTGCAGACATCAATGCTGACAATGCTTAAGTCCCTTACATAAAAAGGCATGGTATTAGTGCACATAGCCCATGGCCATGGCCACCTTCCTCCTGCACACCTCACATCACCTCTGACCCAAGGCAATGGAAATACCGCTCAAATGGTTGTTAGACTACTGCTTGGGGAACAACGACGAAAAGCACAACCCTGCCTAGGTTCAGTACAGATGCAATTTCTGTCAGATATTATTACCCGTGGCTGGCTAACCACACGGGTCCAGACCAGGGAAGCAGAGGGCCAAGTGCACTTACACTGCAGAGCTGGTGTTTCTCTTACATGCTAGGGCCTGTCAGTTTTAGCTTTGGTTCAATGCACTCATTCTCCCTAGGCTTTGATAATTCTGACAATTATCATTACCAAAAATAATTATTCCCTACAGGAGTGGGGAACTAAATTCTTCAATCATTGAATCAACGTATGGTATACTCTCCTTTTCCAGATGAGAAAACTGAGGCTCCACAGATATAATTCTACTTCAACATCATCAAGGCTTGTTGGTCACAGAACTGCAGTAAGAACCAAGTTTTTTGAGACCAGCATGTTAAGCCACCACCTGCAACATCAGCATTCCACATGGGCAGTGGCCTGAGTCCTGGCTGTCCCACTTCTGATCCAGCTCCCTGGAGCAGGACGCAGGTTCCTGGGCTCCTGCTACCAGATGGCGGCTTAGACGCTCTTGGCTTTGTTCTGGTCAGTCCCAGCTTCTAAAGCCATTCAGGGAGTGAACCAGTGGATAGAAGATCTTTCTGTCTCTCCTTCTCTCTATCACTCTGCCTTTCAAATCAATCAAACTTTTTTTAAAAAATGAGAAAGAACAGAGATTTTTCTGGCTTTCCCCTCAGCACACTCCCCACCAGGCCTTGGTGACTCAACAGAGCACCCTCAGCTGAGCAAGACAGAAGACTACATACGCTGTCTCCAGCAGGGGGTAAAGAACCAAGCAAAGGCTCCTCCCTGCACTTTGGAGGTGCCCTATACTGGGAATTTCACCTTTGTGGAGTCTTGAAGTTGCTACAAGCTTGGAGGACAGAAAAAGGGAGAAGCATTGGGCTGCCTCCTTGGCTATGACAAGATGCTACAAGAGGCAGCAGCCAGCATCAGGCCAAGCTGTAGACTGCTTAGTGTTTAGGCACTAGAGACAGAAGGGGAAGAGACTAGGCTTCCTCTGTCTAGCTGCAATGGCAGTACCATCAAAGGCTGGCACAGAGACCAGACAGCTCTCTGTGAGGCTGGCCAACACGATAGGCCAAGGCTAGCAGCAAAACAGATGAGCCTAACTAGAAGCAGAAGGAGTCCAAGAAGAGAAGGACAGCAGCAGATGGACTCTCAGACCAGGGCGACAGTCACCATAGCTACGGCGTCGCAGTGTCCCCAGGGGAATCTGTCAAACAGGACAGGCCACACCCAGACTTCTGTTCAAGAAAACTTTCTGCAAGTGCTTCAGAAACCTGGGGGCACCTTGAAACAAGGCTCCCCACCTTCAGGTAGGTTGACCAAGGTGTGGGCCAACCACGCTCAGCCATCTGCAGCCTGCTGTCCAGGGGCAGGGGGTGAGGCACAGGACAAGCATGGCACAGGACAAGCAACTTCTCCAAAGGACACTGGTGATATGCCGGAACCCCAAAAAGGCTATTAACAAGCCAAAGGCTGACAAGTGAATTACTTCATGCAATGAAGTACGCAAGAAGAAGAATTACAGATGAATTATAACACATAGATACAAATTAGGTTGGAAATTTCAAGTGAAACAAATAATAACTGAGCGTGACATTACATCTGCCAACCTAGGGCTGCTCCTCGCCACACAGATGGACTTCATTAATACAAAAACAAAAGCAAAAAAAGGAAAAAGTTAAGAAGACTCCTGATGATCTCCAACTGTCTTCACTCCTTGCAGAATTCAGATGGCAGTGACACATCAGTTTCTGGCTGCACAAAGGGAGACTCACCAATGACACAGGACATGGTCCCCAAGTTGCATCATTCTGTATGTTAAGTGCTTGCTAACAGAGACTGACATTCCACTCATTCTTACTCCCTTTGACAGTTTGTTGACATGCAACAAAGGTAAGAACAGTCAGTATACAGTGGGTGGGAAACTAAGATTTTATCTTCCTTCCATTTTTTTAAATTTTATTTTTGAAACTTATCGTACAATTCTGTATAGTCTGGGATCTTCCTTCCATTTTAAGCCCCAAACTCTAGAACCACCCTGCCTCCACCCCAGTCCCGAGTACAGTATAAGAGTCACTCCACTAAGGCCAGGACTCCAGATGGAGTCTCCAGGCTCAGTGATCCTCAGCCTTGCAGGAGGTCAGGTGTGCCTGTCTGCCACGGCAGTATGTGGGTGGGCACCCTCACCCTGTGGTCTAGACGAGAGAGGCTGAGGGAGGCTGAGGGAGGAGAGCACCAGGCTGCACAGAATGTAAACCAGACAATGAAATGTTACTTAACAGTAACCCATCCGTGCCTGCTGCTCAGCCTCCAATCCTGCCCCAGGCACCAGCTTCCCCTCTGTCCTGGTATGAGCAAGGCCACTCTGGATTCCATTCTCAGGTGACAGTCATACCTAGATGCAGCAGCAAATGCAACAGCCCGGGCAGCAGTGGCTTCTTCTAGCTTCTTCCTTTTTTTCTCCTCCATTAACTGCTTTTCAACAAAACTTCGGGCTTCCTGTTCAGCTTTTAGCTTTTTCTCCAACTGGCTGATATTCTGCTTGTCTTTCTGCTTCATTTGCACAGCATTATGTAACCTATATGGAAATAATTGTCACACACAGTTTTATAGTGAGAAACACCCCCTAAAAGCTCTTAATTAAGAAATAGGGCCTCTCTTAAAAAAAAATTTATTAAAAGATATTTACACAGAGAAAGAAGGAAGGAAGGAGAAAGAGTGGGAAGGAAGCAGGCAGGGATGGAGGAAGGGAAAAGAGACAAAGATAAATAGAGATCAAGATCTGCTGGTTTACTCCTGAAACGGCTGCACTGCCTGGGACTGGGTCAGGCAGAAGCCAGGAGTCTGGAGTTTCTTTGGGGTCTCACACTCAAAGGGGCAGGGGCCCAAGCACTTCTGTGGCTTTCCCAGGTACATTTGCAAGAAGCTGGACTGGAAGGGCAACAGCAGGGACTCGAACCGGCACTCATAGGAGATGCTGGCACTGCAGGCAGTGGCTTTATTCACTGTGTCACAAAGCTCAGTGAACAGAAAGTTTGACCAGCAAATTCCAAGTGTCCAAAAGTCAACTGAACTGCTCATGTCAGCCCTGCCATCAGCATTTAACAGTTCCCAAACACCAGGAAACAACCCGCCTCATCAGACAGCCACCCTCTATGCTGGTAAGGTCTCTAGTTGACAGAACTCAATGTCAACAGAGGCCATCACTACAGAATAAGTCTAGTGTCCCACTGAGCAACAACTTCAGAAGGCGCAAGCAGCACTGCAGGGACAGGCTTCCTGAAGCTGAGGGCAGGACAGGAGGGGAAGTCTTTCCTGACCACAGTTACGCTGCGGTCTTTTCTTTACAGGAGCTCGGTGTCCCCTAAGTGGCTTCAAGTCAGCCTCTTAAGGATCCTGGGATGGGCCCAGCATGATGCCTTAGTGGCTAAATCCTTGTCTTGAACGCGCTGGGATCCCATGTGGGCACCAGTTGATGTCTCAGCTGCTCCACTTCCTGTCCAGCTCCCTGTTTGTGGCCTTGGAGGGCAGTGGAGGATGACCCAAAGCCTTGGGACCCTGCACCCACATGGGAGATCCAGCAGAAGTTCCTGGCTCCTGGTTTTGAATCGGTTCAACTCTGGCTTTGTAGACATTTGGGAAATGAACCAGCAGATGGAAGATCTTTCTATTTGTATCTCTTTCTCTCTATAAATCTGCCTTTCCAATAAAAATAAATAAATCTAAAAACAACAACAACAACAAAAGTCTTGGATTGCCTAATTTCAGTTGGAAATTTCAGCCCTATGCCCATCTCTGCATCCATCACTTGCAGCACTACCTCTCACCACCAGGGGCCAACCACGGGGAGGGCCTACAGGGAGCAATGCTAAAACCACCTCAAATACTGGCCAGAAGTAATTGAGATATCATGCTCTGGTTTTTAAAATTATGGTCCTTAAAAAATACTGGCTTCCTTTCTCAGTAAGGAAAAACCAGAGTCTGCAACAGTAATCACTCCCACATACATTTAGCAACTGAAAAAGTCAGACCCACAGTGAATCAACAAGTAATTCCAGAATGAATTAATGAAAAACTCAAAAGAATTCACATGCAGAGCTGGATTTTTGCCTGCCTCTTCTGATAAATAAAAATCATAATTCAGGTCCAGATTAAACTGACTCCTGCAATGCCCGCATTCCCTAAGGACGCAGTTCGAGTCCTGGCTGCTCCACTTCTAATCAAGCTCCCTGCTAATGTGTCTGGGAAAATAGTGGAAGATTTTCCTTGGATCCTTGCACCCAGGTGGCAGAACTGGAGGAAGCTCCACAGCTCCTGCATGCCAGCCTTGGCCAGGCACAGCCCTGGCTGTTGCTGTCATTTAGGGAACAAACCAGTGGCCAAAGATCTAAGCCTGGTTTTGAAAAAGGAAAATCTTCAAATTGTGGCAGAAGTACTTTTTATCAATTTTATCACAAAAACTCAACAACTTTTCAGTTAAGATATTGTATTAAATGAGAAACAGCGATGTTGTTTTCTTGAGATGAAGTTACAGCAGATCTCATACGTGCACCGACTATCTCACATGTGAAACATGTTATTTAAACACTTTAGGTTCCTAGGCACAAAAATTGCACTCCAATCCCTGGAAACAACAGTTGAAGGGAGCCCACGCCCCCGGGCATCGGGCTCAAGGCCCAGGTGCAAGGGGGCACTTACTTGTTCTGTAGCAGCTCGTTCTCCTGCCGGAGCTGGCCCATTTCAGAGCGAATTCCTCGTTCCGTGCTTGAGAGGGAGCTGATCTGACTGCGCAGCTCCTGTTCCACTTGCCGGCTGGCTTGCAGGTCAGCCTTTAACTTTTTAATGTCTTGTTCCAGCCTAGAAGGAAAAATAATGTTTTCATCAGGACAAAAGAAGCCACTGAGCTCAGCAACAACCCTAGCTGAGAGATCTGGGGCTGCTGGGGGGATGGCAGAGGCCCTGCTGGCAGCTCCTGCCTGCCCCAGAACTCCCAACAAAATCCGTCAGTAGGGCCCAATTTCATGCAGTGTTTCCCGACTCCTTCCACTAGGGGTAACTTCCAAGATCCACCTGTCCACCTCCATGTCTATGAACACTGCCACTGGAAAGGCAGGGCTTCTGAGTGCCCATGCCGTTATCAGGAAAAAGACATGCCCCCCAGCGAAGGAAGTGTGTGAGAACAAACAGCCTGTGACTCACCACACACTGCTGAGATACTCTGACAGATTAGCATCTACTGTCTGAGCTTCCCTCCTGGCACTGGCAACAGACTCCTAGCCCATGGGCTCCTTTGCTACACCTGTTCCTAGGTGCTGTGACGGGGCAAAGAGCATACCACATTCCACACAGCACTGGCTGCGCCCTGAGAATCCTAAGCAGCTTCATCCGGGAACTGAGGCCTGTCTTTATTCTTCGAGCACCGCCGACTCAGGCTACATCTTGTTTTCTTTACTCTAATTGAGTCTCACTTTAAGCCATGTGTACTGGGAGACCAATAAATGTACAAGTCATACTGAAAAGACAACACAACAGACACAATCAAGCGTCTTTCTCTGTGAGAGCACTTCATAATTTCAGTGGGGCAGAGACACGTAACTGAAAAACAACACAAGGCAAGTTAGGATCAAACGAAAGCTAGAAGGGGTAACAATAACAGTTATTAGAAAGAACTGCTGTGCCAAGTACTGCTGGAGCTTTGGATGGTCTGAACTCATTTCGTCTGTACAACCATGGGCTAAGTGCAACTTCCATTCCCATTTGTCCAGCAGAAGAAATCTGAGCCAGCAATGGCTGCAGCCCAGGGCTGTCCCCATTGACAGCTGCAGAGCCCCGTCTCAGCCAGACAGGAGCTTCATCAGGCACAGAGGAGCAGTGCTACCCATATTCTGTGGAGTAGAGATGGAGAAAGCTGGGCGGAGACAGGAACTCAGGACCTTAAAAGTGAAAGAATCTGTGTAAAAGCGAGCAAGGGGAAGGTAGGCTCCAAACTCAGAGGCAGGACCAGCCAAGAATCTATGACACAAGGATGGCCAGTGCTGGGAAGGATGGGAAGTAGAACAGGTGCAGCACGCAGGGTGTGGACAGTGGCACTGCAGGTCAAGGAGACAGCTTTTCCATCCAGACACAAACTGGCAGGTACATCAAGGACTGAACACACCAACAGAACCAAGATCGCCGGCGAGCTCTCCTTGGGACTGGCAGCTCCATGGACAGAGTCTCAATACACATGTTGTATTAAGCACTGAGGATTAAAAGGCCTACCACAGTGGTCAGCACTTGCTCAATGCACATCGCCTGACCTCCCTTAGCAAACCAAAGAACATTCTGATGTGCTCATCTACCTCCCGGCAACATGGAAAGAATTTCAAAATCCAAATCATCAGCTGTTGAGAATAGTCATTTTGTAGCTGTAATAGCCAATTCTCCCGGCCAGTGCCTCGGAGCACGGCCTGGAGACCTTGTGCTGCCAAGGCCGTGCTGCGCCGTGCCTCCTGACACGTCCAGCTCCCCAGGGAAGGGTCACAAGCTGACCACACACCACACATTCCCATGGCCAGTCATTCCAGGAGAACATACTCAGAACTGTGTCTGTGACGTCACTCTGGGATGTACCCTGACAGTTTAATGCTGTCAAGGTATCCCTAGTCGTAAGTGTGGCTGAGGAATATGGCAGGTGAACTGACATTATTGAGAGGCTGATTTCACAGACTGTGGTTTGCATTTGGGAGAAAAGGCTGGTTTCTCCAGCAGAATAGGGACTTAGCATTGTCAAGAAATGGGGGCTCAGATCAGGGTTCTACACAGAGCAGTGGTGCCAAGGTTGTGCCCCTCAGCAAGGTGGATGTTCCCTCCCAGGGAGCTGTAACTCCCGCATGCCCAACCCAGAAAGTGAAGCTCAGGTTGGTCTAGGGGTTGAGCATGACACACTTGTGGACAGTCACTGACTTGGTTCTTCATCAGCAAACGAAGCAGGGTCACACGCAGATGCACACAGGAGCCAAGTCCCTACACCCAGCCTGCTGCGCTCCAACTGGGCCCTAGTTGGCAATGAAAGAAACACTGCATGTGCAGCAGCTAAGAGGTCACTGACTTTGTCCTTATTACTCCTCTTCTGTTGTTTAACGGTTAACGCCAATTTTCCTGCTACAAACTAAGAACAATTTTATTCAGACAGAAATTCTAGAGTTCCTTAAAAGATGTAAAAATCCCAATGAGTTAATATAGTTGATACCAAAACGCGAAAAGTGTGAGCGTGGATTCTGGGGATCATGAACCACCCAACAGCAGGGGAACCCTCTCAGAGAGGATTGGCAGCACAAGCCAGTCACAGTAAAATGAAGCCAGCAGGGGCGGCCTGTCCCTAGGCAAGTGTTACAGGACAGGGAGAGAAGCAAATTCTCCTGGCCAAGCCCTGCAGCGTGTTCCTGGGTCTGTGGATGCGCTAAGGTGGACTTTGTCGACCAGCAGACCTTGGAAAGATGTTCTCAACCCTGGAGCAATGAAACCAACAACTTCTCAGGACAATCAAGGCCACTCTGGTGGCACCCTTAGAAAACTCTTCCCCACGTGAGGGTCTCTAAGGCGTCATTAAATGACAGTCTCCTATCCCCAGGTGCTGATATAGTTTGACAGCAAGGAGCAGTCTCCTCTGCTCCTCCCCTACACAGAAGGAAAACTCAGAGGCTAACATGCATGAATCCCTCTGAATTGGGTAGACAACATTCAAAAGACAATAAAAATTAAAAAAAAAAAAGAAAGTAAAACGAGTGATTCACATGAATGCTTATGCTGGTTGACAAATTCACACATTAAACATCTCAGAACTGTGCAGTGCTCTGCACGCGTGTTAGACTTGAACAAGCAAATATTTAAAACACACATGACTCCATCTCAAAAGAGAAAGAACTATGACACTTCATGATTTTCCAAACTGTGATCATTCATTGTATAAAACTCTGAATGACTGCTTTTCCAAACTGTTGCAGAAACCCTCTAAGCTGGTACCAGTATCCCCAGTGCAAGGAGTACCACTCTCCAGACACAGTGCTAACAACCACACAGTCAAGTGGCTGAATGAAAAACTTTTCAGTTAGTTTTACAATTTATGCTGTGCAATACTATACTTCTTTTCAGCATAAGGCATTAATTTAACCTTAAAAATTAACAACTTAAATCATTATTTTTCAAAATTTATTTTTATGAGCCCAGCACAATAGCCCAGTAGCTGGAGTGTTCACCTTGAACGCGCCAGGATCCCATATGGGTTCTGGTTCTAATCTGGGCAACCTGTTCCCATTCAGCTCCCTGCATATGGCCTGAGAAAGCAGCTGAGGACAACCTGAAATCATGGGACCCTGTACCAGCGTGGGAGACCCAGAAGAGGCTCCGGACTCCTGGCTTCGGATCAGCTCAGCTCCAGCCATTGCAGCCACTTGGGGAGTGAATCATCAGATGGAAGATCTTCCTCTCAGTCTCTCCTCCTCCTCTTTGTACATCTGACTTTCCAATAAAAATAAAATAAATCTTAAAAAAATATTTCTATTGGAAAGGTAGATTAACAGAGAGAAGGAGAAATGGAGAGAAAGATCTTTCATCTGTTGGTTCATTCCCCAAGTGGCTCCACCAGCCAGAGCTGAGCTGGAGCCAGGAGCTTCAGGATTGCCCACCTGGTTGCAGGGTCCCAAGGACTGGGCCATCCTCCACTGCTGTCCCAGGCCACAAACAGGAATCTGGATGAGAAATGGAGCAGCGAGGACATGAACTGGTGCCCATAAGGGATCGTGGAACATGCAAGGTGAGGATTTAGCCATTGAGTCATCACATGGGGCCATAGATAATTTTCATAATGAATTATTATGATACCCCATTGTATGGATATATAAGATGATCCTATTTTCTAAGATATATCTATATGTCTGCATTTACTCAGTTAAAAAAACAATCTATGCCATGAATTTTAGAAGAACTGTGTGAATTGACAAAATGAACTGAATTAAGCCTATCAAGTGCTAAGAACATTTATTAAGCAGATAACCACTACTTGCCTTAATGGCATACTTAATCTTTTGGTACTGTAGGTCAGCATTTCCTAGGTAAAATGTATTCACATAATTTACTTGTGCAAAGCACCAAGAAAGCCGATTAAATGGGGTTAAGAGGTTAATGAAAAATCTTCAAATATATTCATGGAATTTTATGAAATGTCAATAGCTGCACCCAAAATTAGAAGCTGGTGATCAGGAAGAAAATGAGGCAGAAGTAACAGTCTGCAAATTTTGCAAATAATGTTAGCATACAGGGACCAAAAGAACAGTGAAAACAATCATCTACAGGCTCAGAACTGAGTCCCCCTCAAGAGTTACCCTCTAATCCAAAACAGCAAACATTGAGCCAGACGTGCCTCAAACTTTCAGGCCTAGTCAGGACATAACTAACTGCATGTTCTGCTCATAGAATTCAACGGGGCCAGTCTCTACCTGTAAAGAGGCCTGCCCCATCGGCATCACTTTGGTAGCCTATGGCAAAGCATGAGTCTGTGTACAAGAATGGTGTTATTTTTTGGGATGGTGCGATGGCTCATCTAGCTAATCCTCCACCTGCAAGAACCAGCATCCCATAGGGGCACTGTTGGTTCAGGTTTTGGCTGCTCCACTTCCCATCTAGTTCCCTGCTTGTGGCCTGGGAAAGCAGTGGAGGATGGTAGAAAGCCCTGGGACCCTGCACCTGGGGTAGCAGACACAGAAGAGGTGCCTGGCTCCATATCAGCTAAGGTCCAGTCACTGTGGCCATCAAGGAAGTGAGTGAGTAGATAGAAGATACCTCTATACTTTTCCCTAAGTCTGCCTTTTAGGAAAAAG